ACAATCTCCCTACTCCTGAAATGAAGTTCAGTATGGAGTATGAGATAGAATATGACAGCTGTGCTTTGATCAGACAAAGCAAGGGAGAGAGAGAACAAACAACATTACCAGTCCTTAGATTCCACATTGTTCCTGTCATGTGAATGAATGGTGCAGAGCTGGGGTGGTGCGACAAAGAAAGCAAGAGAGATGAAAAAGAGAGGATAGCAAGGGGTCGTATCTGCATCCTTTTATAGTTAACCTGATGCATGCCTCTTATGTAAATTAGACTTTTTTGCACTGTTTTGTTCACACACGTGCAACCAGCCTGTGGTTTTTGCTCTGACATTGTTCAAAACACCAGACATTGATTTAAACCAACTTCATCAGCACTCTGAGTTCATCATGGTATTTTTCCAACTTGTTTACAAGCATGACAGAATTTTATCCTGTTACTTCACACTGTTTGTTCACATTACTAAAAACACGTGTCTTAGGGAAGCAGCACAGAAACAAAGTTTTATTGTTTAATTTATTTTAAATAGAAAGGCTGTTCAGTACTGAGCCTTTGTAAAGGTTCGAAATAATTTCATTATTTGATTTCAGTTTATGAATAAAATGTGAAGTCTAATTAAAGTTATTTAAGATGGTAACTCTCTTCAGGGCATCAAGTGAATCATTCCTAAGGTCTACATTATTAGCCTCGTGGATCTGAGTCTATGTTGCAGTAAGCTTTACTGTCATCTCAGCTAGTGAGTTCTCAGCATAAATTGAGAGCAATACAGTTCATGGGTTTTTTAATCTTCTGTACTTTAATTGTGGCATTGGCTAATTTTATTTCATTGCTCATTCTCTCTTACGATGGAAAAATTAAATTTCTTTGTTCTCTTGAGATATTTGAAAATGGACTGTCTTTTATGCTGAACTGCTCATCTGATTCTTCCCCCATTGTGCTTAATTCCTGTCTGGCTAAATAAAGAGATTGCATACTGTGGTAGTTCATCACCATAGTTGAAAATGCTACTAGAAAACAGTTATAGTAGAACCATGGTTGAGGAGCTTGGTCTTTAACAGCCTTCTTATGCAGAAACTGTCTCTGCTTTCATGAAACTTGTAAACGTCAGGTTATACTGCATAGATTTCCCTAAATTTACACTTCAGGTATGCCATCCTAAAGGTACAGTAAATCCCACTAGCGCCAAAATACTTAGGTAAAGGTCATATCAATATTACAGAATTTGGTTGCTTTGTCCCCTTCTTGACCCATGCTTTTACAGAACAACTGAGCTCTCTTAACTATGAAACCCAAATTTAAGTAATGATGGCAATTGCTGCTGTGCTTGTGGGTATGTTGCCTTCAAGCTATGGCAGCTAACAAAAGTTTGCAGAATTTTATTGTACTGCAGTCAGACTGGTTGTCATTTGATTGTTTTTGCACTATTAGACTTGACATAAAATTGTTCTGTTTCCTCAGCTCAGAAGGAGGTTATGGCCAGAAAAGTCATTTCAGAAAGGGACATTTCAATATTTAGATTTACTTGTCTTTTATGAGTTTTTATGCTTTGTCATGGTAGATATTTGCAGATATTCAGGTTTTGTATTTGTTATTTTTAACAAGTTCATTAGTACTCTGATGATAAGACACCTTCCCTAGAGAGCTTTAAAAATTTTGAAACAGGATGTGAAAGTGAGGTCATGCATGAAAACAGTGATGAAAAGAGACTCTGTGAGAAATGGATATGATACTTAAAGGGACTATGAGAATGGATGGAGAGCAGAGAACATACCCAATGGATACCGTGTGTGAGAGAGACAATGGAGCTGAGCATTCTGAATCAAGTTGTTCTCTTGATCTCAGCAGAGATAAAACCCTATTGAGTACTGTATTCTCCTAGAGATAAATCCTTGATGAAAATCTCAGTGCAAGTGTTGGAGCAATATGGTTTTGTTTGTCTTTTTTTTTTATTCTCCCCCAAATTTCATTGGTTAATTCATGAGTATTTGCTCAGTCCCTGTGGTAAATGGATTTTCATGTCCATATCCCAAGTATATCCTCATTTTGTGCAGGGAAGCTAACTTGCTTTGTAAAGTAATTTTTCTAGCTAAAGACTACAGAATTTTTTGTTTCCATTTTACAGAAATCAAGTGAAGAAACAGAGTGAAAATTTCCACTCTAATCTAGATTTGAAGAAATCCTCTTTGCAGTTATCAGTAATTGTTAATATTAATCCTTTCTTACTTGAATCTTAGATCAAGGAAGGTATAATCTGGAAGCTTTTCTTTATTCTAATTTAAAGAATCCAAATTTATTTAATTTAGAAGTTATATATTTTAATATGATTTAACAATAAATTTTATACAAATTAGTAAGTGGAAAGAGTATTTGCAATTTCAGGCATTCTGAATTTTTTTACATCAGATACATCAGTATTGGTTGCTAAAATTTGTAAAGATCATTCTTTAGGGAACAGCTTGGAGTAGTTCTCATGCTTAATTTTCACACTGAGTTTGTGCATTATCAGTTCCAGAGGACAGCTTTCCCAGAAGATCATTTAACCACTTTACAAAGTGTTGTTTTTCATTTTTTCCTCAGGCTTTTATTTATAACATGTGCTTCAAAGTATGATACGAGGCATCATAATATAATTCTAATTTATGCAGAAAACATTTCTTACCAGCTTTCTCAGCTCCTTTGGTAATAATACCCAGTTGGTGTAGATTTCTCCTCTTGGCTTCATTCTTCTTTCTCATCTGTTTTGTGAAAAAAATGTTTTATTATCTTGATAAAGGAAGAAAATACAGCATTGTGCCTAGCAGTTGTATTTTCTATATCATTAATTCCAATATTCACAATAAGAAGTGTCACGTAAAACAGCTTCAGGTCTACAAGACTGATGCTTTTGAACTCCACTTTCTACCTTTCATGGAGGGAAATAATCCTTTTCAGCTATAGACTATGCAGGATAACAAGTTTTTTATTTTGTTTTATTTTTCTCCTGGAAGAGACTTTCAGTCAAGTCAAATCAGCCAGACAGTCTTCCTGTGTCCATTCATGCATCTTGCCTGAGGAGTGCCATTTTCTGCCTCTGTTGTAGTCCTGAAGTTACAAGGTTTTTCTATTTCTGAAATATTTTGTCAGGTTTTTCTTCTAATTGTGTACAGAAAGTAAAAACAGAATTTTAGTTTAAATACTATTTGAACATATAAAGCAAGAACATATATGGAACTTTATCGGGTATGAAGGCAAAAATTTTACTAGACCATAGCTGCAGTAACCCATAATCTGAATAATTTCCAGATTATATTGGATTTTACTTACTGTGACATTTAGTCTATGGGTTCATTCACTGCTAAGTAAGTAGTGGAATTAAACCTTCAGCCTTACCCTGAATGAGTGTTGAACCTATTAAAATTGTAACTAAAAAGGAACAGTTTTAAAAAGGTACCCCTAATTTTCATTCAAATTCAAAATATTTTGGACAACATTTTCAGATGCGTGTCACTTATAGTCAGGGAAGACAGGAGTGTGCAACTCCAGTAATTCCTGATCACCAGCAGGAGATAATGCATCAGAATAGATTTGAAGATTTGGTTTCTGACAAAAATCTTGGGAAATAGTTACAATTTATTCTGTTTCATAGCCAAGGAAACTCAATTTTGCTGGTTTGTGGAGGGAAAACAGTCATAGCTGTAGAATAAGTCTGGAGATGGTACCACTGCCTTAAGTATCTTTTGAAAGACTTTGTGGAACCTGCACCATTTCTTGGGGTTGTAGACTTGTGCATGGCAGATTAACTGCATAAATATAAATCATTAATTCCTGCTCAAAGAAGTAACTTCTGTCAATTACTTCAACAAAACTTACTAAGGTGCAGATATCTGTATTCAGCTAATTAACACTGCTTTGCCATTCAGCCAGTACTGAGATCTTACATGAATATCTTGGTTCTTTCTCTAGTCATCAGTTAAAAAAACAGCAGTGACATAAAAACTGTTCCCTAGTGCTTTATCTTTCAACATACGCATAGTCAGAGTTAAAAGCTGGACACTGCACTGCTGAATTCAGCAGTCATCTGAGAATTTTAAATCCATTTTCATCCTTTTCTGTGAGCATGGCTGCCTTATTAGTGCAGACTAGTAATGTGACCTTTGCTACAGCCAATATACCTCCTTGGCTTATATAGGCAGCATGTTTCAGCTCTCCGTCCAGGCATCCTGTGGCATACATACCCTGAGTTAAACAGATTGCACTTAGGAACTGGCCTGCTTCCTGTGGGGCTCTAAGAATGGACATGTGTCTGGTAGACTCAGCCAAAGTTTCTGTATTTGTCCAAAATACCTGAGCCTCAAGCAAATAATGATGTAGGTCCAGTGGTGTTGGATCCCGCCTCTTTTCATGCTTTTAATTCTTATGAAGTCTCACAAAGATATTTATTTCATGCACACACTGTATAGAAAATCTCACTGTTTCTTAAATCTGACTTAATGTCTTTTGTTACAATAAAATTCAAAATTATCTTCCCATTTAAGAGGGGAAAATGAATATAGACGTGATATTAATAGTCTTGACAATATTTTCTTTTCCTTCTGTATTTAAAGGAAATAAATAAAAGTGACCTCAACAGGAGTGTTTGAGGAGCCTACCCCAGGTGTCTAATTGAGAATTCTCCCTGTCTGTCCCAGGCAGTGATTGCCATATTTTGGGTGTCTGCAGGCAGCATCAGACCAGCTTTTAAATGCTGCTGTGTTGACCCCCAGGTCTCTCCACCTGGTACAGATTTTCAGGCTTCTTTTTTACTTTTATCAAATGAAGTCTCTTGTTTCAAAAGAATATTCTCAGAGAGACCACCATGCCTCTTGACTCCACAAACAGCATGCACTCACTTGTAAATACCCAGGGCTATTTGGTGTGCAGCAAGCCAAGATTCATCAAATCAGCCATGCCACAGGATTTTTCAGCCCTTGTACAACAGGACAGCACAGAAATTCTGCACTGTATTTTCACTCTCTTCTCTTTGCAGGCATACCAGGCAGTGACTATATCAATGCCAACTACATAGATGGATACAGGAAGCAGAATGCTTACATAGCAACGCAGGGGGCATTGCCAGAAACCTTTGGTGACTTCTGGAGAATGATGTGGGAGCAACGAGGTGCAACTGTCGTCATGATGACAAAACTAGAGGAGAGGTCCAGGGTAAGGAAAACTTGTGTAAGGTTACTAATATTGTACTGGAGTTACCACTAATGTCAGTTTTTTTGTTTCCTTCATGTATGTTTGCCTGCCTTATCTATATGTGTAAAAAACAGTATTTTTTTTAAGGTTACCATGAGTTAAAAGTGTCTGCACCATGAAAATCACTTGTATATAGGAAATCTTGCTTTCACTATCAAACTACCAAGTCATGACACTTATTTAGTATATTTCTATGCTCTGGAAAATTTCAATTTTTGATCACAATTATTCTGGGGGTTGTTTTCTTTTTAATCATGTTGGAAATCTTATGAGGTGACCAAAAGAGTTACTTCCTCTGTAGTAGTAAGAATATGATTGTATCATCCTATTATGAGGAAATTCATGTATGTCAACAGCATTTGGTTCTCAGTTTTAAATTGTATAGATTCAGCATTATTTAATATCAGTGAGAATTTGGATTTGCTTGAGAAACAAGGTTTGGGGGTTTTTTGAGCACATGGTGCTAGCTAGGAAGATTACAACAGCGCATGCAATAACAGAATACAAAATTATCTGTGGTATTTCAAATTCAATTTTGCAGACCAAAGTAAAATTAGGGAAGTAAAGCACTGAAACATAAGAATATTGTTCTGATAATAGCATGATACTATTCAAATAATAGAACTATAGATTCTATTATTTGAGGAGTTATAATTATATATGTGCTATATGGAAAGGGAAATAAAAAATAGTAATTAGGTTTTTTTATAAAATAAAGAATGTGATAGTGTAATAACATAGCATGGTGTGTCGCATGAAGATTTACTAGTGGGTCCATATTTGGTAGCATTTATCAGTTCTAAGGGTGAATGCTATTGGAGAGGAGGGTGTAAAAGGAAGGAAAATAACAGAAGAAAATAAGAGAAAGATGGGGAGAAAAAGAAATGAGAAAAATCAGCAGCAGCCAGTCAGGAAGACAAGCAAGTGTTAGCCCTCAGTGGTGGTTCCTCCATCCAACTTTTTCTATAGTAACTGTGTTTTGTGTCAAGATATACTTGCAGTTCTCATGGGTTGTTCATGCTCATTGTGCTGCTACCATTGCTGGGCACACACGTTGGCTAGGGAGAGTGCTACACAGCTGGTTCATTGCTGAGCTTTCTGCAAACACATTTATGTGTCCTATAGCATAAGCCAGAAACTTCAACCAAACACAGAAATCAGAAGGAGGGAGAAAGAAGTGGTGATTCTAACATCAGTGGTAATCACATCCCTTGGGACCCTGCCATAACAACAGTAAAAGGGTTTTCAAAACCTGGAGATGAATAATGAACAGGAGTGTCACAGAAAAACACTGCCACAAGCATTCTGAGGTATTCTGTCTGTCCTGGAAGCTTGTGTGAAGGGCCAGGAAGCTGCAGGTGGGAAGCAGGCTGGAGGACTGCAGGTGGAAGGTGGAAGATAAGGTATTGAATGCTCTGTGCAATGACTTAAAAAGTGACATAAATACGGAGGATCAAGAAGAGTTTGGTAATACAAAAAAAACGTTAGCGAGAAAGACAGAAGATTTATTATCCAGACTGGTTTTAAATCAGTAGAAGTATCTTACAGAGGTAACTGGATAATAGTTGATATTATCAACTATTCAGTTGTAGTTCATGGATGAGCTCCATTTCAGAATGAAAACATTTCAGCATATGTCAGCTTGGAACAGGGTGGAGCGCACCAAAAGCCTAATGCTGTACTATGTTGGCATTGCTGTCTTTTTCATGTGCTTGGATACCTATAATTGCAATGATTACATAACTTGAACCTCTTGGCAGCAGTCATTCCTTCATGGAGGCTTACCAAAACACATATATATTTATTCTTTTACCCTTTCCATCATTTCTATGAGTAGGCTTTTTGCAGTTCAAGCAATGTATAGCATTCTAATTATAGTCACTTCCCACATGTAACCAGCCCACATTAACACCACTGCTTTTACATACCTCATGGCAATTAGTACATAGCAGAGGGTAATTTTAGCAGAATTTCTAGTTTTATCTTGGGTCTACAGACCTTGTCTAGTCTAGGGACTAACTGTTTGGGATTGGGAAAATGAAATTTTTCCCATTTATTCACTAATTAATTCTTTAGAGTTGCTGTTAAATGACACCAGAGCAAAGAAAAAATTGGTTTCTAATAAGCAGCCCATTGCAAAAGGTATACTTAAGTACTTGAAAGTTCATCCTAATACTGCAGGCCACAGACAGCTGCTGTCTAGAAGGATGTTTTGATGTAGCTAAATTAAATTCTTCTCATTCTCTCCAATAATTGCCTAGCAGAGTTTTAAGCTAACTCTAGCGTTTGTTGGCTGCACCCTAAAAAAACACTGATCAGAATAGTAATCACCTCCAGAAGTGATTAGCATTCAGAAGCAATACATTCCCTAAGTGGAATGAGAAACTAGACATTCTAGTCAATGGATTGCTCATGCATTCAGTGCTTATATTTGTGTATTTTTTGTACATAATTTAGCGCCTTCTGTGTTCATGGGCTGAATTTGATGCATTCATTGCAGAGCATTACATACCAGCTATCCAGTACATAACTCAGCTCCCAGTCACAGAGTCTGCAGCTCTGAATATGGCATACCAGTTACTTCTTCTAATACAGTAGCTGCATGTAATGTAATTAATGGTACTGGTGGTGAGGCAGTGGTGGGAATCCCTGTGTAGGAAAAAAAACCCAGTGATGACATTACATTGCTATTTTCTCTTGTGCTATCATTTTTATATAGCAGACTTTTGTAGCAGAAAAACAAGTGAGATTTCAAACATGAAATATAAGCACTGTTACATATCATTAGGGATGAAGAGCTTTGCTAATTTTGTTTCTCTTTCTCCTTTGATTCTGTTTTGATTGCTTTTGTGTCTTGGCAGCCTGATCATTATTCCTGCTGCAAGGCAAGATTGTTTCTCCCTGGGACTTTCTGCTTTCCATCTCCGTGTCGTCATTTCTGTTTAGCTAGCTTTTTTTCATTATGTAGTCTGGCAGCCTGATACCAGCCTTTTAACCTGGACTGCATAGATAGAGATGAGGATTTTAATTGCATCTGCAGAAAAGAAGTTGGTTCGTTAGCATGTGTTAGGTGTCTGAGTGACTTCAGATTTGAGAATGTTCATATTTTACAGCTGAGTAGATCAAATGAAGATGTTACAGTGAATTCATTATTCATTTGTTTGCCTATAAGGAAGCTGCAGGAAAAAAAGATCTTTCACTTATAACCTTTCACACTTAGTTGGTTTCATATTAAATGTCATCACCTGAATTTCCCTTGACCTAAACCAGACTACAGTGAGAAAGTCAGTCTCATCGTTCAACTACCATGAAAATAATTTGTTTCAAAAAGGATTATACACTCTGGCAGTGCATGGAACAGTGTTAGTAGCATTTTTGTCACAGATTCAAGTTTAATGTTAGTGAAATAAAAGAACAATATTGAAGGTTGTAAATTAGAGAATAAAAAAAAAATCTGTGTGTTATACTAAGGAAATATGTAAAACATGTAAAGCATTAATGTGTGATACTCTCTCTCCTACTTCTTTGTCTTCTCCTCTGCACCAAGCAGTACAGATTAGATTTTGTTGTTGCTGTTTGGTTTGGGGTTTTTTTGGCTTTTCTTCTTTTTTTTTTTCCTCTCAGCTAATTGGATGTTCTGAGTACTCATGCACTGTAATGAATTTTACGAATGATCAGATTAAAAATCTCTCTTTATAGGAACACATACCATTGCCTCCAACAGGAAACATCTAGTCCTGCCTCCTTTTTCAGGGTAGGATGCTGTAGTAGATTGTCCACTTGCAAAATAATTAAATCCTTATTTTCTTTGCTTTGTAATTACGTATTTTTAATACATTTGCTGTGTTATCTTGGAACTGATAGAAAATACTTACTTCCATCCTTAACCTCATTACAATACTTTCTGCATTGGGACCCTATTGCCTTGGTTTAAAATCTTTTGACCAAAAAACCCAGTCAGGTTAAAGCTAAATGACAATATAATGACACTATCTAGTATTCAAATATTAGCAGCTAAATGACAGTATAATATCAGTATCAAGTTGATACTGAGCCAGATTCTGAACTTATGAGGAAGGCTTTAGTTTTCATAATGATGCTATCAGCTTCATTCAAATTTGCTAATATCTAAGTGAATACAGAGGAAACTACATTTGTGGCATTTTGTTAGCCTGATCCAAAAACCTATTTGATTGTCATAAGTGGATATCATCATCGATATTATAAGCAAAAATTAAAAACCATAAGCATAGAGTAATCATCTTGGTTTCTCAGGGTTTAAAATCTTGAATACTAAGTCTTCATTGGGAAGGGGGAGATGGAAAAAGCCCAGTAGAAAAGTCATGTATCCTGTCTCAGATTTTGTTCCCCCTTATTGATACACATAAGACTATTTGCATGGGTCCTGTATTTGTTCCATAAAAACATCAAAAGATAGTTGAAAATCCCTGGACTTATTTTCTCTCAATTTGTCATTGACACTGACACTGACACTGAGAGAGTCAGGAGAAAAGCTAAATGGACTTATCCTGGTATTGCTGAAATGCTAAATAGGAAGTCCTGTTGTTCCAAGTATCAAGCATCAGAACACTGACATCTGAGTATTTCAACTAATTTTTTATATATTTATAGACTATTCCGTGTGTAAGAAAAATGGAAAATGGGTGGCAGTAGAAATACTGAGTAGATAAAATTTTAGGGGTTTGTTTTACTTAGTGTGTTTAGTTGAGTTTTTTAAGGAGGATATAATAGATATAATAAATCAGGGAAGGTTTATTCGAATGCAACTGGTACAAAACCCACAATGAGTTGAAAACAGAATGGAAAATATAATTGTACATTGGGACTCCTTACCATAAACAGCTTTGAAACAGGCTTTGGCGAGCAAAGATTTCTTGTCTTGCTATAGGTAAAGTAAAAATTAAAGGCAAGTCTGGGAAGAACACTACATTTTTCTACTC